AAATCCCGCACACGAGATACATTCATGGAACCGATGTGATCTATAAATAAAATTTTAAAAAAGGAAGGGATTTTTTTTCCCCCTCTTGTACATTATAAATTTCGAGAAAATAAATAAAGAAACAAGCTCTACAGTTCTTATCTCTTTGAAGAGTAAATTGGTACCAAAAGCGTACGAGTTTCGCGCGATGACACATGAAATGAGACATGATGAGTTAGACTTAACAACTTGGGAAGATGTAGCAAATGGTATGTCGACTCGAGTCTACACGAAAAAAAGAAGTCGAAATTTTGATTCCCTTTTTTCTCTCTCTGCAAATTTTTCGGGTTTTCTTTTACTTTTTAACGATTCTCAATTGGAGAAAACAGATGTTAATTGAATTTTGTTTTAATTGGCCAAAGGAACTCAAATTTTAAGGAACGATGGAGAAAAGGAGGAAAAATAGAAAGAGGAGAAAAAGTAGAAAGAGAGAGAGAGAGAGAGGGGGAGGGAGAGAGAGGGAGAGATAAAGAGAGAAAAGAGGAAGAATGATAAAGAGAAAAAAGAAGAAAGAAAAACGAGAGGAAGCAGATGAGGCGTGGAGAGGTGGTGCAGAGGCTTGAAGAGCACGGTCCGATTAGCAATCGCCATGGAAACAAGCAGTTGATGCGATCAGTTCGCGCATGAGAGGAAAGGGCTGCGTTCGATGTGCCTATGTAGATATATTCTATAGGTATAACCATCGCATTTAAAGCATCGCAATGATGATGGTAGTGGTACTCGTGGTGGCTGGGGGGTGAGAAATAGATTGGGAGGAGTGTAGGTGGTGAGAGGAGAGAAAGAGAATCGGGAGAAAGCAGCAGTTCCCGTTCTCTCGGCCGGCTGCCTGTTATCATGAGAAACAAGCTTCCACTCTGATTTTTTAATCCGATCCCACCGTCCACCCACCCCTCTCTTTCAACTGAATTTTAAAATAACTGCAGAACGCCATTTGCTCCTCGCAAACAGACCGGGGTTAAGCTTCACTCTCTCTCTCTCTCTCTCTCTCTTTCTCTCTCTCAATTTTTCCCTCTCTCCCATTTCCCCTTTTCTCCTACTTTATCCATATCTCTTTTTCACTCTTGCATTCCTCTTTTGATTTCTCTTTTGCAACTATTTTTTATCCCCTTTCTTTATGCCTCTCTTTTTTTTGTTTTTGATGTGCAGCTTTTCCAATATCATCGCGGAGACGACGCGACGGATGGATAGGCCACCAGAATGGGACAGATAGAGTACATATATATTCACGAAGGCCTGCCAAATTGAAATGTTTAGCGCGTCGTTTCAGCTGCTGTGTGATCCCGCATGCAGTAGTGTGGCACAGAGGCAATATAGAGCCTCTAGGCACATCCCTTGGTAGCAAAGCGCAGGGTAGATAAGTGACAGTTTTATTAATTTCCCATCTCTGGGTACAATGCCACCCACTGATGTCACTCCTGCGAACACGAACACACAAACTTATACGCATAGCAATGCTATATGGGGCTTTTGCACACGTTGCCTCTATATCAAGGGGTGGTTGGGACGTGAAATAAAGCTCAATAATGGCGTCGCGCCGTGACGGTGCCGCCACCCTTTCCTCTCACTGCTACTCTCCTGTCTTCCATCTTCCAAGACCCGCGGGACAACCGCGATATTGTTTATTATTTAATTTCGCCGCGCCTCTTTTCTTTTTTTGGGAATGGTGCGAAATTTTATGTATAGCATTGCGTCGAGACGAATTTTTTTATTCTTCTTCTTCATTTGATCCTCTTCAATCTATTATCCATTTTTTAGCTATACTGATAACTTTATCGCACACGTTATTTCTTTTGGCCATCCGGCGGTTGAGGTTAACAGGGCTCGAACCAGTAAAAGTATTTAAAAATACGAGCTTTACTCTCTAAATCTGAATTAGTAAGTTTCTACTAATAAAATAGTGCGGATTCGTTTACCAATTTGAATTAGTAACAGTTTTTACTAATCTTTAGTAGTTTTTTACTAATTGCTAGTAGAATACAAATTGGTAAACAAATCAACACTATTTCATTAGTAGAAAGTTACTAATTCAGATTTAGAAAGCACGGACCAAAAATGAAAAATTACGGACCAATTACTGACAAAAATATAACCAGTCTTTGACTCGGAGTGATCGATTTCTTCATGTTTTATAATAATTAAAGATGACCGAGTGATAAAATCATTGTCAATACAATTATTATTTTCAAGAATTTTTAACTAAAATTCTTCTTTAAATCGATCATTTTTAATAATTTTTGAAAAAGTTCTTCGACAATATTCAATATTCATTTTTACGAAACTTCAATTATTCGTAAATTCTTCAATAAAATATATATAAGAAAATAAAAACTTAAAATAATATAAAAAAATTCAATTCAACTTTTACAAAAAAAAAATTAATTTTAAAATTCAATTATTTCTAAAAATTCAAGATATATTGCTTATAATATTCAATTATTATCTAAAATTTTAACTGAAATTCATTTTTATAAAATGAAAATCAATTTTTATTAGAAAATTCTACTAGAATTATCAATTATTTAAATACAAAAATAAATAATTTATTGTATAATTGAAAGTTTCTTCAAATTCAATTCCTTTGAAGAATTTTATTAACAAATTTCTAAATAATTGAATTCTTTCAACGAATTTCAATAAAATTAAAAATAATTAAATTTTTCGAGAAATTCGATTAAAATTATATTAAAAATAATTAAAATTCTTCTGCGATTCTGCGAAATAATTGAATATCTAAGAAGAATTTTATTATTTTCGAATAATATTTAATTTTTGCAAAGAATATTATATTACTCTTGAAAATAATTGAATTTCTGCAATAAATTATAACTTTTTCAAAATTAAATTTGTTTTCGTGTTTTTAATTAAAATTCTTCTGTAAATGCATTATTATTAATATTTTTTGAAAAAGTTCTTTGAAAATTTTCAATTTCATTTTTTAACAATTCAATGTCACAAAATATCAATTATTCGGAAATTCTTCAATTCATTGCAAAGAAATTTAAAAAATATTTGTAAATAATTGAATTCCTGTGAAATTTTTATTAGTTTACGAAAATAATTAAAGGTTTGCGTAGAATTTTATTAAATTTTTTTAAAATAATTGAATTCTTTTGAAAAATTTTATTAAAATAGTAGATATTAAAAATCATTGAATTTTCGAAAATTTTTTAAAACAATTTAATTTCGGAGAAGAATTAAATTATTTCTAAAGATAATTGAAATTTGGCCAAGAATTTTGAAAATTCATTTGTTTACGGTTCAATTTTACAAAATTTTAATTATTCGTAAATTCTTCAATTAAATATATATTAAAAAATAAAAACTTGAAATAATTTCAAAAAAAAATCAGCAATTAAAATTTCTCAAAAAAATTAATTTTACAGAATTGTTAGTTAAAAATATGAAAAATTCAGACTTTCAAAGATTTTAATTTGAAACCTTTTCAAAATTCAATTATTTCTAAAAATCCATGCTAATATTTTAAATAATAATTTATTATTTCAAGAAAACGGAGAATACAACAAAAATTTATTGAATGTTTCTTAAAATTGAATTCTTTTAAAAAATGTTATCAATAAATTTTTGAATAATTGAATTTTTTTGATAAATTTTAATAACATTTTTAAGAGTAAAACACATTTTTCGAGGAATTCGATAAAAATTGTATTAAAAGTAATTGAATTCTTGACATTCTTATGAGTTTTATTATATTTTTGAAAATAATTGAATTTCTGCAATCGTTTGTAATTGCTCTGAAATTCTCCAAATTATATCGTACAATTTACGAACTTTTCGTCTTTTCTCAATCAAATTACGGACTTTATGTACCTTTTTTTAAAAAAAACTGACTTTTACGGACTTCAAGCATATATTTACGGACCTTTACGGAATTTACGAACTTAGTTCGAGCCCTGCGTTAATCGAAAGTTAAATCAATCGGAGAATCAAAAGAGAACCAAAACTTACTTTAAATTTATTAATTTTTAAATTAATTTTCGAATAACAGAAAATGCAAAAGAAAACCAAAATTCCGACTCGAAAATACACCAAAAAAAAACTCTAAACTAAAAACGAAAGAATTCAGTGAATTAAATTTTTGAAAGCTAAATTCAGTTTGGCAGCAGTTAAGTCCTGCAGGTTCATCTTATCTATGTTTGAATTGGGAAAAAAACTTAAGAGAGAAGAAGATATATCCGTTGGTGGTGGAAAATTTAATTTCGATCCCGTCGATTCAGCAGTTATATCCAAGTTTAATCTTTGATAAGGGTTAGTCTTTTAGTAATGGGATCCCGGAGGGTCGGTTGGACCAACGAGACTGGGATGAGTGGAAAAAGGGACTGCGAAGATGGTAGAAAGGAAGCTTAAACCGTTAGATAGAGATCTGCCTCAGGACGAAAGTAATACCTACCGCTTATACCTTGAACTCGACTTTTATACGGTTGAGGCGTAACGAGCCTCACGATTGGATAACTTTTCCGACGCCAACTTTCCTCCAAGAGGACTCGTGTTTTTTTCTCAAATCGAGTGTCATCCAAAGTCCTGCAAAACTCTCATGCTCTCTCTCTTTCTCCCCTCTTTTTCTTACTTTTTTTCTGCTTTTCTTATTTTTCATAACTTCATCGAATTCGCTTACTTTTTCTTTTGTTTCCTCTTGTTGGACACTTTTTCGAAATGGTTTATAATTAATTTTTAACCTTCACAATTTAATTAAATTTATAATTTTTGACTGATAATTTAATTTTCAAACCTGAGAATTTAATTTTGTCATTTACTATGACAAATAATAATCGTGTAAAAAATTTCAGCTGTAAATATTTTACACGATTTTATTGTTAGTGAAAATATTTACAGTATTTTATTGTTTGGAAATATTTGCATATTTTTAGAAACTAACACTAATTGTTAAGTTTATTTGAGTGTTTATTGAGTAATAATCGAGATTTTCTCAATTTCTGTTACAGCTATGGGGTAGATTTGAATGGCGCAAGGCGGAAGAATGCAACCCGCGAAACTACCAGTACCCTAAAGGCTTGGTTAAACGAGCACAAAAAAAATCCGTATCCAACGAAGGGGGAAAAAATAATGTTAGCAATTATTACGAAAATGACGTTGACTCAAGTGTCGACGTGGTTCGCAAATGCCCGACGGCGACTCAAGAAGGAAAACAAGATGACGTGGGAGCCAAGAAACAGGGTGGAAGATGAGGACAATAATAATGAAGACGACGATAGCGGAAGGAAGAGCGTCGACGACAAGGATCGATTAGGTAAATATCGATCATTGCCAAAAAAATATTTTTCTTTCTTTAAAAACTCACTTTTCCAAAAAAAAAATTCTGTTCTAATTTGAAATTTAACAATTTAACAATTTAACAAATTTAACAAATTTAACAGTATTTTATTGTTTGGAAATATTTTATTTTTTAGAAAATTTAATTTCAATACGAAATTTTTAAGTTTCTTAATGAACGAAATTTTCTATCGATATAAATATTTTCAAAAATTACTCACTGCGATATAGAAAGAAGATCTTGAAAAGTTCAAAAACTTTTTGTAGAAAGCGAAAAGAAAATTATTTCGAAACTTTATAGTTAATATTTTTAATTCGTGACTCAACATGTTAATAAAATTTCAAGACTGGAATATAGAATTTCATTTTGAAAAAGTTTCCAAGTTAATTCATCACTTTAATAGGTATTTATACATATTTTAAAAAATTAACAGTTACCCTCATGAATAACTCAAATTTGAAACCAAAATCGTATCTGTTTTTGTTTTAGTTTTTAAAAAAATTGCCTCACATTTTTACTGAGATGCAATATTTGTACCATTCAGAAGCTGGATTACATTTTATCATAAATAAATTTAAATACTAGAATATCAAATTCATACATATTATATATACATATGTATACAGATTTTAAAAAATTAACACTTCATTAGTGTTAATTCACGAATCAAATTAGAAACCAAAATAATATATGCCGTCTCATTTTTTTTAAAAACATTACCTTACGTTTTTTTAATTGAAATGCAATATTTTAACATTAAGAAGTAAGATTACTGTTCGTCATATTTAAATTTATTTATTATATACATTTTAAAAAATGATAAAAAGTGCGAGAATACTATATTGAGCCACAAGAGATAGGCAATAAAAATATCATTAAAAACAAGATATCCTTTTAAATTTTATTGCGAAAGCAAGACAATCCCTATTCCTTATGGAATTATTAATTTTATTACACTTTCAACATCTTGTTAAGTCTGTTAATGTAATTGAGGTTACACTGTAATGCATAATTTGCATTCAATTTCAGTTCTTTATGGACAAAAAAATGATTAGTTTTCTATAATTTACTTTTTGTTGTTTAAATCAATTTTAAATTAATTAACTTGGAAATTTATTCTTCCAGTCAATAAAAATCGGTTATGTTAAATATTTTGAATTTTGATGGACGTTTTATTTCTTAAATTATTAATTCAACACAGTTTTCTTTGAAAGTACCAAATATTTTTAATGTTTGGTACAAAAAAGTACCAAAGTGCGGATTAAATTGATACAAAAAATTTGGAAACATTTTGGTTTCAATTCAATTATGTTCAAAAATTTTTTTAAATTCTAGTTAAAATTTCAATTATCTTTATAAGAAATAAAATTCTTATCCGAAATTCAATTATTTTCTAAAATTTCAAATATATTCAGAAAATTCAAAAAAATAGTTCTGAGAAATTCAATTATTCCTAAAAATTTAAATAAACTGTTAAAAATTCTATTATTTAAAAAAATGTTGACAAAATTCTTTACAAGATTTAGTTAATTCAATTATTTTCAATACAATTTTTCTTAAGAATTCAATTATTTTCACAAATAAATAAATAATACATTTTTTTATGAGAATTCAATTATTTAAAAAAATTTGAATAAAATTCTACACAAGAAATCAATTATTTTCATAAATAATAAAAAATTTCTCGAGAATTCAATTATTTAAAAAAATTTGAATAAAATTCTTCACGAGAAATTAATAATTTTCATAAATAATAATATTTTTCTCCGGAATTCAATTATTTTCACACAAATAAAATTCTTCATAGGAATTCAATTCTTTAAAAAAATTTATAATAAAATTCGTTTACAAAAATTTAATTATTTTCATAAATAAAAATAACAAAACTTATGGCAGAATGTCAATTATTTTTTGTACAATTTTAAATAAAATGATAGGAAATTGCATTTATTCCTATAAAATTTTTTTTAAATTCGCCAAAAGAATTCAATTATTTTTAAAAAAATTTGATAAAATTCTCCATAAAAATTCAATTTGAAGAAATATTAAATTATTTAATAAATTATTTATTTTTGTACCTATTCAAATAATTGAATTCTCGAGTAATTTACTAATAAAAATTGATTAAAAAATAAATTTTACCTAAAATTTTAAATTATAAATGAATATTAAAAGCATTATAGCGTGAATTTTTAGAAATAATTGAATTTTGAGAAGGTTTCAAATTAAAATCTTTGAAAATTTGAAGTCTTCAAACTTTTAACTGACAATTCTATAGAATTAATTTATTTTAAAAAAGTTTAATTGAATTCTTTTTGTATTATTTAAAGTTTTTATTTTTCTTATAATAAATATTTAATTAAAGAATTTCCGAATTATCGAAATTTCCTAAAATTAAATTGTAAACAAAGGGGTTTAAAAATTCCCAAGGAACTTTTGCAAAAATTATTAATAATAATTGATGATTGAATTCTTTCGAACAATTTTAATAAATTTTTTTAAAATAATTGCATTTTTCGAGGAATTTATTTAAATTTGTTTTAAAAATAATTGAAATCCTATGAAAAATTTTATTATTTATGAAAATAATTGAATTCTTACAACGAATTTTATTACTTTTTTTAAAATAATTGAATTCATGTGAAATATTTTATTACCTACTTGTAAAAGTAATTGAATTCTTGCGAAGGAATTTATTAAAATTTTTGAAAATATAATTTAATGTTTTTTTGAAAACTTAAATTATTATAAAACATTATTTTCAAAAGTTATTGAATTTGAAAATCTTAATTCCTATGGAAAATTAATAGTTATTAAATATTTATTAAAAAAAGAAGTTATTGATGTTTTTAAATAATTTTACACTTAAAGAAATTCGTAATAAATAAATTTAATACAACATTTTTTTGAAAATCTAATAATTTTTGTAGTGAATCAGAATATTCTTCAGGGTCAGGGAAAAAGTCAAATTTTTCTCTGGAAATCAGGAAAAAACAAAATTAAATTTTTGTGGCAATCCTGAAGATGATAAAATTTTTGGCAAAATGACCCAATGTGTGAATGGGGTGACAAAAAATGTGTTTAATTAACCTTCGTTAGGTTAATTAAAATTTTAAGCAACCGAGAAATTAGAGGAGTTATTAAAAAAAATTGTAGTAAATGAAGAACAAATTTTAAATAGATCATAAATTTATGTTTGCAGATTCTAAAGACTCAGGGACCGGATCAAGTGAAGATGGAGATCGACCAGCGCATCGTCTGGATCTCCTCCACGGATCGGGTGGTGCTGGTGGATTTCCGGTGAAGGCGGAAAGTGAATGGAGTGAGTCAAGAGCCGACAGCGGTCCGGATAGTCCCGAATGTCTCTTTGATCAAAGAGAACCAAGGCATCCAATGCAACTTCAACATCCGGCATATCTACCGTCGTCGCGTCTCCTTCGTCATTCATCCCCTGAAGCAACATCGCCAGGAAGTCATCACCTACCGCCCAGTACGAGTGCAACGTCCACCGGAAGTGCGACCACCAAGCCAAGAATATGGTCCCTCGCCGACATGGCCAGCAAGGACGGTGATCAGCCTAGTCCAAATTCAGCGAGTCTCGTGTCCCCCTTCACATCATCGACGGGCGGCGGCGGTGGTGGTGGCGGGGGGAAACTCGTCAGTCCTCTCGCCAGTAGACTTCCACCACATCATCCACTTCATCCCGCAATGCATCCCGGTTCACAATTCGTCAGACCTCATCCAGATTTCTATCGAAATTTCTACGGTTCTTTGCATCAAGGCTCAGGTGATATGTCACTACTCGAAACGTACTCGAGGACTCTCGGTGGTCTAGGTGGGGCTCCAGGTATTCTAACACCCACCTCATCGTCATCGACCGAGGCAAAAACCTTTTCCCCCGAAGTGAAATCATTCCCCGAAGCCAAATCATTCTCCCCCGATATAAAACCATTCCCCAATCAAGAAACTAAAAACTTCCCCACCGACGTCAAGCCTTTCTCAACAAACGGAAATCCCGCGAACCGAACAGGTATTCTCACAACATCATCGGGCGTCTCACCATCATCATCATCGTCCTCAGCGTCATCAGCCGGCTCGGAACCATCATCCCATCATCCACCAACGGAACTAAAATCCCCCGGTCGAGTATGAATTACTCCCACCGAGTGATTGAAAGACAATTCATGACAATAAGACTATAAAAATCTTTTTTTTTCTCCCATTTCCTTTTGTAAATTAGTGTACAGATTTTATTGTAATTTCTTATTCTCTTTTATGGAGAGAGAAAAAGAGTTACCCTGCTGCTTCCAGAAATGAATATAAAAATGAAGAGTAGTCTACAAATCCAAGAAGTAGTAGTGAAATTATCGAAAAAAAAATAATTTTAGATAGTGTCGTATAAATATTATACATACATACATACAAATATAAAAAAAAAATTATTAATATTATTTATGCGTCTGTAAATAGTAGGCCTGGTGCGTACCAGCCAGTGTATGTATTGTATGTAGAGTAGTGTGATAATTATTAAAATTGATAATTAATAAAAAATAATTATTATTACGCAGTATAATAATTATTATTGTATCTGAAATCATTATTCATACTAGAAATCGATGACTATTATTGCGACAATGATGATTATTGTTATTGCAATGTTTATAATTATTATATCGATTCACCTCGACATGTCAGTTTTGGTCATGAATCCCTTGATCACTGTTATGACAATTTATCAGTCGAATTTCATCCAAATGGATTCAAAAACTAGGATTTTTTTATTATATTTATTAATAATTTGTATTATAATATAAGATGTACGCTGTATATTATAATACCCAACGGATATTATATTTTACATTATAATATACGATGGATATTATGCTATAAAATAATATACTATAAAAATTTACAATCGAAAACCAAAAATCGAGAAACTTTTTTTCATTTAATGAGAATCGACTGGCAAAATGTCTGCGAGAAATTATAATTGTACTTCCAATTGCGTCTCTTCCTTTTTCAACAATTATTGGACGAATGTAGAGTTTATAATAGAGGTCTTTTAGACAATGAGGTGGTGACGCAAGGAATGTCCACATATCATGTCATGTCGTGAGTGAACGATCGCCAGTCATTCGTATCCAAATTTCATCGCCAACCTGCCGATACCACATTGGCAAACAGCGGGTGGCATCTGTTCTTCGCAATAAACGAATCATTACGAAATCATTAAAAAAAATTCTCTTCTTTTTTTAAAACTCAATCTCCTATCCATCATCCTATTTGCATCTTTTACCTATAAGCATATTTCTAATTATGCAGTGATTCAATTTTTTAATATTTTGGAATAAAGAGACATAACTGATTAACTGACTCAGGAAAGTATTAAATAATCTATTTTTGTAGGTAAGTTTTACTGCTTTAGTTTAATTTCAATAAATTTAATTACCTTAGCTTTCATTTAATAATTTTCTTAACTTTAAATTAATTTAATAATTTTCTTAACTTCAACTTAAATTAATAACTCTTTAAATCTTTAATAATTTAATAATTAATTAAGTTTAACTTAATCATTTTTATTACTTTGAGTAACTTCAGCAATAAAAATGAAAATTTTTTTAAAGATAATAAATAATTATAATTTTGCTGCATATTGTGTAGAAAAGTGTATACTATACTGAAAAGTGTACTTTTCCAAAAATTTTTCATTATTTCGCTGAATACAGTGAAGAAAAGTATAACTTTTTGCACTCTAAGCAAAAAAGTTCTTTCTTCGGACTTTTTATTATTTTTCTGCATACTATACAAAAAAGTATACTTTTCCACAAAATTTTTTATTATTTTTCTACAAACTATGCAGAAAAGTATAATTTTCTGCACTCTATGCAAAAAAAGAAGACTTTTTTGCAAACTTTTTATTATTTTTCTGAACACTATGCAGAAAAGTGTACTTTTCCAAATACTTTTTATTACTTTGCTGCATATTGTGCAGAAGAGTGTATAATGAAAAAAAAGTATACATTTTATATTTTTGCTTTATACAGTGCAGAAAAGTGTAATTTTCTGCACGCTGTGCAAAAAAAGATCCTTTTTTAAGATTTTTTATTTTTCTAAATATTATACAAAAAAGTATACATTTCCATATAATTTTTTTTATTATTTTGTTGCATACTTTGCAGAAAAGTGTAGTTTTCTGCAGTTTATGCAAAAAGAGCGCTTTTTTGCAGAGTTTTTATTATTATTTTTCATCGCATTATGCAGAAAAGTGAAGGTTTCTACACTCTATACAAAAAAGGTTCTTTTTTGTATACTTTTTATTTTTTTTCTGCAAACTATATAAAAAACTGAACATTTTAAAATTTTTTTATTACTTTGCTGCACACTATGCAGAAAAGTGGACTTTTCGGCACTATTTTCATTACCTTACTGCAAACTATGACAAAAAGTGTACTTTTTTACACATTTTTTGTACCTTTTTGCGCGCTTTTCTTTACTTTTCTGCATACTGTGTATAAAACTGTATTTTTTTTTACACATTTTTATTACTTTTCTGCACGCTTTTCATTTTGTACTGCAGAGTATGCAAAAAAAAAAAAAAAACTTTTTGCACAGTTTTTGTTACTTTTTTTCACAATTGTTTTGCAACTTTTCACTTTGCTGCATACTATAAAGAAAAGTGTTACTTTCGCCACAACAAAATTTACTTTCGTCACGCCAAATATTTATTTCGCCACCCTATTCAGAGGAATTGAGAAAAGTTCTACTTTCGACACGCTAAATTTATTTTCGCCACTCTCGTCAAAGGAACTTAGAGAAGATCTACTTTCGACACTCTATCCAGAGGAGTTGAGAAAAGTTCTACTTTCGCAAAGCTAAATTTATTTTCACCACTTTCGTCAGAGGAATTGAGAAAAGATCTACTTTCGACACTCTATTCAGAGGAGTTGAGAAAAGTGCTACTTTCGCCACGCTTTTTTAACATAAAAAATACTTCTTTCAAAGCAGACGTTGGAGAAAACAAAATATACCTTAACGAAAACATCTTCTTTTCGCTCTAGGTACACAATATACACAATCAATGAAGTAAAATCTAAACATAACCTAAAATTCCCCTCTCCTCACTAAGTTCCCATTTCTCGTGTAGCATCAGATGTATATAGATATTTTCATTTGGAAATGATTCAGGGAATCGAATATAAATACTTATCTAGAGGCTATGCATACAATGTTGAAGACAATAGATGAGACATGGCATCACGTTCATCGAAGGCAGAGACTGGAGCAGATGAATATGAAACGAGAAGGTTTCTTAGAACCGTTGAGAATTGTACTTATAAAAATGCAAAGCGACGGACTTCTGGGTGGTTGTGGGACAAGGCTGGTTATTAGTAAACATTTAAATCGACAATCGCTATGGCTGTATAAGCGGGAGAATGCGACTCACTCTCATTCTCTTCCTCCTTTATGCTTACTCTCTCTTCTTCTTTGAATCGTTTTCGCGTGCCAATTTTATCTCTCTTTCTCTCCTCCTATCTTCTTCTCTCTCCTTTTCTGCATTTTGTCCCTCTTTCTCTCTTCTTTTCTGTATTCGTCCCTCTTTCTCTCTCTCTTCTTTTCTGCATTTGTCCCTCTTTCTCTCCCTCCTTTTCCATATATTTGTCTGTCTCTCTTTTTCCCCATGTGTCGTTCCTTCTTTCTCTGTATTTGTCTTTCTTTCTTAGGAACAGAGAGCTCGATCGGTCTGCAAAGCGGAGAAAACAAGAAATGTCGCGAGACCACCCGCTAGGACCTCAAGGATCGAAACCGCGGATCCCAAGGAGGTCTATCCCGTCTTCATGAATCAACTCGTTCCTGAATCGGCATAAAGCTTTGCCTTAAAGGAGACTCTGGGGATGTAAGCTAGGTTTAAAGAGTTATGTTCGACTCCCGGTTCCTAAAGGCAGTGTGCGGTGGCCTGTTAAGTCGACCAAAAACCGGATGACGATCCAATCCTCCTTCGAGAACCCTACTCTCACATCTCGTCCGAATCCGCGGTTCTTCGAGATGCGAAAAGTGTTGTTGTTCTTGCATTCAACTCATAATTCTTTTTTTTTCCAAAATTACTCTCCTCCAAAGAAAACATCTTTTTTTTAAATAGTCTCTCTCATCGTTATATGTCATCTCACATCTCTAATTGTTTTCTAAAAATTCAAATTGATTTCTACTTATTCTGATCGGATTCTAAAGGTTGTTTTAGGTAAAGCTTTTCTCCGTGTGATAAGGGTTTACAACAAAAACTAAAAAAAATTTTCATGATCCGATTAGAAATTCCATGAGATTTTCATGATTCCATAAATTAAAATGAAATCCCTTGACAATTCGATGATTTCCAGGTTTTCCATGACTTGTAGAAACTGGGTTGAAATAATATCGCAAAATTCTTAAAAGAGTTTCCCTGAGGTAATTTTTCAGACCTTTAAGTTTATATATATTGTGTAAATGGATAGAAAACGTATCGACCTCGTCACTCGTCTTTCCTTATAGATGGTAAAGTAAACCAGCTCTGCATTATTCGCTTTTATCGAGTTTTAACGGAACAACGGATTCCTTTATGGAACCGCCGTTAATTTTACGAGGCGGAGCATATTTAGCTTGGGTGATCGTAAAGTCATACTTTGCGTCGCGATAAAGTTAAAACACCATCGGCCCAGGCTTAAAGCAAAGTTTTCATCGTAAATAAAAGGGGGGGCAAGTTTCGACTCGATACTACGAAAACCTTATGTTTCTATAATTTACCTTATTTTCCCCAATTGTATTTATATAATGATTTTCAGTTTTCACCTTCAACTGCTTACTTTTGAATTTAAAAATTGGATAACTTTCTAAAATTTACAATTTGTACGAGATGCTAAAAGTGTTGTAGAATTTTGCATTTGTCATACGGATTGTATTTTCGAATACAAATTGTAAAGAAAAAGGTAAAAAAAAAATAGTTTATGAAATATTTTTGCTCCAGAGAAAAAGAATTTTTTCGAACAGTTCGCGACAGTAAATTTTTAATTTGACCAAATTTATAATTATTCTCAATAACAAGATGTGCATTTCTATTTTTTCGTCTCTACCTAAAAATTCAAAGCTGAATAATGAACAGGAGGAAATCTGGAATGAAATGGCTGAAAAAGTTCCGAGTTCAGGTTGAAACACTGGAAAATTAACGGTTTGATGATAAGCGTCAAACTTGGAGTTGTAGAAGTGATAGATCATCGCTCCCACCATCGTTCATATACGTTGACATACAATTTTTCAACTCAAGCAGACTTTAATCTTGAAAGCTATGCAATGAGTTGAAAAAAAAGTGTCAAATTACGATTTTTAGACGAGCTAATTTTGATTTACAACTGCGTGTCCTCCTTTCATTCTTTTTTTTCCAAAAAAATCAAAATAAGAATTAAAAAATCTTCTACTGCCTTAAATTTAAATACAAATTTAAAAAAATTTAATTTCGTTTGGGTTTATTTTGAGAAAAAAAAAACAAATTATATAAATAGTCTCTCGAAAAGTTTAATAATTATAGTAAAGGAACGAATAAAATACGAAAGACATCTTCCTCTCCGATTTTGTGCTCCTAAAATTGCAATGTTTTTGATGCAGCCGCTTGTGAATGCCCGAATGCATTGACTATCTATTGTTCCTGAATAAACCATCGTGCGACCAAATATTCTCATGGGGTCCGCGATTACCTTTGGGGAAAAAAACTTGGGACTCAGATCTCTTTATTTCCTCAACTCTGTATTCCGGGCATATACTGTTTTCATTTTAGGATTAGATTATAATGGAATCAGTAAATCAACCAAATGACTCTGCGATTTTTGACCAATTCTATTATATTATATTCTTCTGCTTGCCTCCATTAATATTGCCCTCCTCCTGGAGGAATTTAACGATAATTCAAAGCAAACGGAAATAATATACGAAATATCAAATCGATTTTATTTGCAATTTGAAACTTTTAGTATAAATCCATAACATGACTCGCTATTTATTTCTCGAACATTGATTTTTCATTAAATCAGCTTCAATATACACAAAAACTTTCAATTTTTTTTAACCATCCGGGCAAAGTATGGCAAATTGTGGGAAGAAGCAACTACAGAGTTGCTACAAAAATTTAATTTTGCATTCCCCTGATTGCCAGACGAAAATTTTCACTTTTTCTTTGACACTAAAAACTAAAAAATATTCTTAACTATAATAATGATT